CTCACCTCACCAAAGTGGTTCCTCACCCCTGCTTAATCTGATGAAACCACCCCCTTTATGAGAAAGCTGGCCCTGAACAGATGCTGGACAAGTGAAGGCCTGCCTGCTCACTGTTCCTCCTCCCTAACCGAAGCGTTTGTCTCCTCTAAGGATGATTTTGTGCCTTTGGGTTGGATCCAGGCTGAGTCACGGTGAGAGCAGATCCCATGAGAACCGGTCTGTGGCTTTCAGCCATGGCTGAAAGTGGGTCTACTCGAAATCAAAGCGTGATCCGGGTCCAACACACCGTGAACGCTGTCCTCCCATGAATTAAGTCCAGGCGGAAGAGAGCATTTTGCTCAGCTGAGGTTTCTCAGCGGCTGCTCCCACTGTCTTTCACCACTGATTAAACCAGCTATTATTAATACAGAATGAGCTTCCACTCCCGCCTCTCTGCAGCAAAGCAATAGCTTGTGCGTGCTTCCAAAAGCAAGCAAACAGAAAACATAAACATGCAACCCTAAAATGATTTAAACAATAGAAGTCAATAAAAAAAAACAACCTGCTGAAAACCACAATTAAACAAACTAGTTTTAAACTCGTCTTCACACCCTTCCTGAAAGCAGCAACGCTGGGACCTGATCCCTATTCTAGTTTGGCGTGGGCATTGGGCTGATGAGAGGTTAGCGGTCCAAGAACATCAGAGATTGAATTAAGTTTTTAATATCAATTAATTCACTGCATTCCTAAGATGCCCCCTGTTACAACAGCATTCATGGACTTCCTGTTTTATAGCAATGTAGAGGCTGTGCCCACTGGCCCCCCAAGAATCTCTCTCTCTCTCTCACACACACACACACACACACACACAGAGTGTCCTTTTAGAGATCTGGCCACCCGATCATTACCCACACCAGTATTCCCTTTTTCTGCCAGATCTCCAGGAATGACCTGATCCCACAATGGGCTCAAGTAACAGGAAACCAGATTTAGGCTGAGTATCCAGGAAAAATGTCTTAACTGTTAGAGAAGTACGACAAGGGAACGCATGACCTCGGGAGGTAGGGAGCACTCCAGCGCTGGAGGCATTTAAGAGAAAACTGGACCACCGTCTGCCAGATGTGCTGTGATGGGGATTCCTGCCTTGAGCAGGGGGTTGGACTGGATGACCTCGGAGGCCCCTTTCCAACTCCACGATTCTGGGATTCTATGATAAACCCAAATGCCTAAAAGCCTGGGTGGAGTTACACAGCACCCGTGCAATTATTTGCCCACCTCCCGCCTAGAGAATGCAAAAAAAGCAGTCATTAGGGATGGCAGCGGAATCATCAGCATAACACCAAGGAAAAGGGAAGGAGAGGCAGAAGGAAAAGAAAAGCTGGACCCCGAACACCCCAAAGCACGGCTCTGACCTCATGGCCCAAAGCCCCCACAAGGACACAGGTCTGCACGTGCGCGCAGAGAATCCTAGCAATGGAACCACCCCTCCGGGTGAGCCCACTCCCCAGCACGTCAGCCACTGGCAGGCGTCTTTTGTCAGGGAAGGAAGGCCCCCCCTTGCCCCTCCCACGCTATGCTCCACCACCTCATAGCCCCCCAATTCCTCACCCCAGGAATGCAGAAATAGTCTTGACATGGGGGGGTCTATACAGTACACCCCCCCTCCCACCAAATCCAACTTCTCTAGCAATCCAGAGTTCCCTTTGTTTTTAAGTTCGGGATTCCGGATGATGATGATGATGATGTCGGGTCCATGCTGTTGGCCTCCCCCCGCGACCCCTGCCCTCGCGTGACCTTGTCCCCGTCCGGCTCACTCACCAGGATGCTCTTGTAGAGGGTGCCGTCCTGGAGGGCCATGCTGACCCGGATGATGCGGCAGTCCGAGGCCGAGGCGCTGCCCGGGGCCGGGGCCGCGGGGTAGGCAGCCCCACAGGAAGCGGAGCGCCGGTGCCCTTTGATGAAGCCTCCCGCCTTGGCCGGGGGAGGCGCGAGCGGCCCAGGGGAAGCGGGAGCGGCTTTCTCCGAGGAGGCGGCGGCGGCCGTGTCCAGCGATGAGACCGAAGGCCATTTCGTGGGCTGGAGGGAGAGGAAGAAAGACGTGTGGACGCAAGAGGGCCCCACCAGGTCTTTAAAACACCCAGTTTCTAGCTCCAAACAGGATCTTAGACAACTGGAGAGGAGAACCACAGAGCCCTTGCTGCTCGTCGGGATCCTAAGCGAGATAAGACGGGCAACCCGAAACGAGCGCCCCAAAAGTCTGCGAGCAAAGGGGTTTTCGTGTTTGTTCCTGTTCTGTTCTGGAGCCTCTCCTTTAATGACGTGAAGGGTCAAGAACAAGGGGGAACCAAGCAGAGCGATGCTCGGGGGGGGTGAGGGAGGGAACCCCCCCCCTGCTTTGCGATCTGGGCCAAGAGGAATGGAAATCTGGAATTAAAACAAGAGGCAGCCTGCACTCTCTCTCCCCGGAAGTCAAGCCTACAATAAGATGAAAAGTGGTTCCTGGTGCAAATTCTGAGCCCTGTATAAAAGCCACTAAGGTACAGTGGTGCCTCGCATAGCGAGGTTAATCCGTTCCGGATTAACCTTCGCTATAGCGAAACATCGCTAAACGGAATTTAAAAAGCCATAGAAACGCATTGAACTTTGTTCAATGCGTTCCTATGGCTTGAAAACTCACCGTTAAGCGAGGTTCTGCCATAGCGCCGCCATTTTCGCGCCCTCGGTAAGCGAGGGCAGGGCGCGAAAATGCGGCGCGGACCTTCCGGCGGCTATTTTGGAACCGCCGATCAGCTGTTCTCCCCTGCTTCGTTATGCGATATTCGCTAAGCGAATCGCTTAGCGAATATCGCAAAGCGAAAAATCCCCATAGGGGCCATCGCTGAGCGAATGCTCCAGCGATGGCCCAGGGCGCCTCGTTAAGCGATTTCATCGCTCAGCGAGGCGCTCGTTAAGCGAGGCACCACTGTACGTCGATTCCGCCTGGTATTTTAAATGTTTTAAAAAATACAATCGGGGGTTGGGGGGTGGGGAAGAACCCAAACAATTCAAGTAAATGACCTGGAACACATCAGCACCTCATTCCCTTCCTGGCATGGCATAAGAAGGTCACAGAAGTGGCCATCCTGCACCCACTCATGCGGACGTACGCCCTGCGGAACTCAAGGAGACTACATAGAAGGAGGTTTGGGACCAGACCCAGACAGAATCTCATCTCTCCATATATGAGGGGCCAAATCATCCCTGAGAGACCCAGAAAGCTGGAAGAACATCCCAGCGAGATCATTTTCTCCATTAGCCCTGTTGTATTGAGTGTGAATTTAAAAAGAGGCCGCTTGCTTTCCATGAAGGTTCAAGCCGATGGTGCAAAAGTCTCACACAGCCTCATCAGGATGTGGCCCCCACATATGGCAGTCCCTAAAAAGCTAGGCTCTAGATGATGGGTGGGTGCTCAGGGATTCCCCCCCTCCCCCGGCGGCAGGGGGTGGGGGGGAGGATGGAAGCATGACGGCCGGGAAGCCCAGGCTTGCTCACCTGTTGAGGACAAGGTTGTCCCCGGGTCGCTCCGGAGGCCGACGGAGGCAAGAGCAGGTCCGGGGGTGGGTTTGGGGAGCAGGGTCTGTCCCAGGGAACCGGGGTGCTCACCCCGATGGAGGTCAGCAGGCTGCATGGACAAAAAGGAAAAAGGGGCAGAGATTAACCTCTCATTCCTGGGGGCCCCTTGAGGGTCTGTCCTCTGCCCCCCCCGAAATAAGAGGGGGCCACACTGGAGGAAGAGACCTCCAGGAGAAGGCAGGGCCGACCTTTCCGGGGAGCCTCTGCTAGCCGAGTTGACCCCTTTGGGCCAGATGATTCTGCAAGGGGCTGAGCCCCCCATTCCAGGTAGGCTCCCTCCCTGACCCCCCCCAGATCCCCTTCTGCCTCTCACTCAGTGCAGTGGGTGATCACCAGCATGGGCTTGGTGGGTCTGCCCGCCGGGGTCCCCCCTCCTTCGGCCGGAGGCTCGATCGCACACGAGCGCTGGTAGCTGGAGACAGAATGCGAGGGGGGGAGAGGAAGCCGGAGGGTGAGGTCCTGGCCGGAGAAAAGGCAGACACCCACCCACCCGGGCCACCCATCCCCCTCTGATCTCCAGCCGACAAACGCCCTCCACACACACACACACACCTTTGGGTCTCGGTGAGGCTGGGGAGGCGCTGAAGCCACCGCTGGAGAGCCGGATCTGGGCTCAGCGCGTAGTTACGACAGTTGGCCTGCAGGAGGCGCAGCTGGGTCAGGATCTCAAACTCCTGCAGAAAGCCAAGATTTGGGTTTATAGGTAAGGCTGGTGGGGGGGGGCTCTTTCCCAAATATCTACGGTGAGGATGGAGCTTCCAGGCACTTCTCGGCTCCCCTTTTCTGCACTAACCAGCACACGTACCTTGCGGTGCTTCTCAAAATTAATGTAGCCGTTCTGCACAGAGAGAGAGAGAGAGAGAGAGAGAGAATGAGAGGCAATAAGACCCGCCATTCCGAGAAGACTCAGAAGACTCTCTTTCCAAACCTCCCCAACCCTCCCCCCCCCAAAAAAAAACCTCTCAGATGTCCCTCTTCCGTAAGGGCAAATATGCTTCGATACCAGCATGGCTAGAAATTTATTTACAGTAGTTGGTTGTTGTGGGTTTTTCGGGCTCTTTGGCCATGTTCTGAAAGTTGTTAGGCGGGACAGAAATCAATCAATCCATCAATCCCGGCCGTGAAAGCCTTCACAAATACAATTTTTTTAGTTGTTTGTTTTTTAAAATTTCTGTACCGCCCATCTGGCAACCCAGGCCACTCTGGGTGGACGACAAAATACCATAAAACAAAATATTAAAAGACAAGACAAAGCAGGCAATAAAACTGAATAGTCTATAGAAAAGCAACAAATACAAACAGTATCAATACAACATGAAATTAAAATGAAATAAAATGATCAAGAGCATTCACCACCGGGGCGGGCCGACGGATTTTGCAGAGTCCCACTGAGGCTTCGGAGCGGATGCCTTCCCCCTGCAGCCGGTGTGACACTGTGGCTCTCACAGTTGGGGAAAGACCACCCAAAAAAAGAGTCTAGGGCAGTGGTTCCCAAACCGGGGGTCCCCAGATCTTCTTGGTCTGCGACTCCAAGAAATCCCAGCCATAAGAGCTCGTGGTGAAGGCTTCTGGGTATTGTAGTCCAAAAGGTGTCCTCCCCCAGGTTTGGGGCTCCCACCCACTGCCCACCCCCCTCCTTCCCAGCCAGCATGCCTAGTGGGAAGGACGGCATGATGCCAGGCTGCGCTGGTTGGGCGCACAGCACCGCCGCTCACCATGGGCCGGTGCTCCGTGGACTTCCGCTGATGCCGGCGCTGGATGGGGTCCGTGCCAGATCCTCCTCGGGAATAGCCTTCCTATTGGGGAGGGAGAAGCAGAGTGAGGTCCCCCCCCGGCCGACTGGATAGGCAGAAACAACGCTTTCCTTCTATACAAGGTTGTCTTGCGTCATAAGCCATGATCACCCACCGTGTGGCGCAGTGGTTAGAGACGGGGGGAGTGGGCAGTGGAAGATACTCTGTTTTCCACCAAGCCATGAAATTCCATGGAGAGGAGGAGGGGGACTCACAGGCGCTACCTGGCAGGGCTGTCATGTGGATGCAGGAGGAGGAAGGGAGGAAAGGCAGGGCAGCCACATGAATAAGCAGCAGCAACCCACCCGAACACCCGCACGGTACTGTAAGAAAAGGAGTCCCTCGGGTTCCATACCCTGGCACCTACTCTCAAGTAAACGTGTCTCGGGCTGTTGGGAGGCAGCCAGCAATAAAGGGGGGGGGGAATTCTAGCAGTGCCCCTGACCTTTCTTTAAAAGTGATGCATCAGGAAGGGTTTCGACTGTTATTTACTTTCAGTGTTTATTTTCACAGTCTACTCACAGCTCTTTATATTTTCCCTAGGGCTCCCCTGGCCGGCTTTACATCCTGTGAAGGGCACTGGGAGATGGGTTCTAAAGGACTATTTTGTATATAGGCTGACTCAATGTGTTTGTTTTTATATATACTGTATATAAACAAACACGTTGAGTCAGCCAATTGGCTCAGACACAAAACTCAGCCTCCAACACCAGGCGATATGAGGGACTGCGGTTTTGTCCTCAGCGTAGCTTTGCTTGGCACTTCCTCCCAGACCCGTTTTCTTTCCTCCAAAGCCCGAGGGAGACACGGACTCAGCCGTCAAGCGAGTCGAGAAGGCTAGGGAGCCCAGACGCAGGGCAGAGAAAAGGAAGCCCTTTTTTGGCGCTTTGTGCAGAACTTAACCTGTGGAATTCCTTGCCACAAGATGCAGCAACAGAAATAAATGCCAACTTGGATTGTTTTCAAAAAAATCATCCAGTCACGGAACTATCTCCTCCCGTAGGAGAAGCATACAGCTTTTATGTTATGTTATGTTATAATAATGTGTCGTCAAGTCAATTCTGACTTAGGTCAGCCTTTTCCAAGGTTTTCCAGGTAAGAGAGTCCTCAGAAGTGGTTTCCCACACCCTTCTTTTGGGGGGGAGGTGCCCTGGGACTGTGCAGGTGGCCCAAAGCCACCCAGACTGGCTTTTTTCTCCCCAGAAAGTCACAGTGGGGCTGCCAATTCCCCGAAATCCCTCCACAAAAGCAAAATTAAAAGCATATTTCTGCATAATCCCGTGGAATCACGACATTCCTGGGTAGAGACGCTGGGGTTGGGTGAGCAGCGTTGTCTACGCCGAGTGCGAAGAAGCCACGAAGCCCATTTGGGCTGAGTCTCGGGCCTCCCCCCTTGCCCAGGGCATAGTGGGGAAACATCCGCACACAGGTGCAGACGCGCAACGCAACACAGAAAGAGCGCGGCGGACGGAGGAGGAGGAGAAGTGGGGTTCAGTGGTCACGCCCACCTGGAACAGTAGCCGCCGGCTTTGGCTGTAGTTATCCTCTTCGGAGCAGACGGCGCTGAGCTCCTCGTAGCAGCGAAGGGAATCCCTGCGGGGGGGGAGGGTT